GTGGTCCTTTTGCTACGATAACACATTCAAATGTTTCTTCAATGATGGATGCTTTTATGCACCGGGTGTCGAGTTTTATCATTTGCGTTTCATTTTTCACCTCACGCATGTCTTAACGCAGTAGCAAAATGTCCCAGTTACGTCACATCACAGCAGTGCATTCTCCCAAACTTCTAAGCTACTCAATATTATACAGTAATTGCACTGTAGATATTAGATTTGGACGAGACCTTCATAAGTATATTAATTATTAGTATGCGAGGAGCCTCTGAATCTTTTTTTTATGTTCTCGTTTGGAGGAACCCTTTGAAAAAATGCCAGAAGCGTCATTCGCCCGACTTCAAGCAGTGTGCTCTCTCTCTTTTTTTTTAATTCCCATCTTTCATCCTTTCATCACAAGAGTTAACATGCCTAAATAACCAGCAGACATATTTAGGGCTGCATAATTTCATCAATAAGAACAGTTACTAGATAAACAAGTAGCTGTATGACATACTCTTCCGTCAATATTGAAGACTTTGGTAACACTTTACTTGAAGGGGTGCGCATAAGACTAACATGACACCTTCATAATCATGACATGACACTTGTTATGAATATGAAGGAAGTTTTATGCATGTTTGTGACAACTGTCATTAAGTGTCATTCGCTCAATTATGACATTTTTAATGCAAATATGACATTGTTTGAGATGTCTTTGTTATGACACCTTGACATAAACTAATACATCATAACCTGTCAGTGTCTTTGTCATGACAACTTGACATTACTAAGACAACACAACCTGTCATAAACATGACATAGCAGATTAATTATCAAACTTAAGAAACCACTTAGCTTTTTTGGTTAACATTACATTAAACTGTCAGGTGGTTGGTTTTGACATTGGCTGTCATGAAGCCATTATAACTGTTTAATGGCAAATTCAATTTGTACCACTGTAGTTGAGGTCACGAAAAATATTCATGACACAGTTATAATGGCCTTATGACAGCCAATGTCAAAACCAACCACATGACAGTTTAACTTAATTTAATGTCAAGTTGTCATGACAAAGACACTGACAGGTTATGATGAATTGGTTTATGTCAAGGTGTCATAACAAAGACATCTTAAACAATGTCATATTGGCATTCAAAATGTCATTATTGAGCGAAAGACACTTAATGACAGTTGTCATAAACATGCATAAACCCTACTTCATATTCATGACATGTGTCATGTCATGGTTATGAAGGTGTCATGTCAGTCTTATGTACACCCCTTCAAGTAAAGTGTTACCAAGACTTTAGATATATAAAGACTGTGTATTTGTATCACTATGAATGGAAGAAAGTGCAACGCGCAAAATGGCGGAATAAGTCCCGCCTTCTAAATAAATGAGAGTTTTTTTGTCATAAGCGTTTAGAAACAAAATGTATGTGACAGTTGTCGTGAGATTTCATTGATGATTTCAAATATGAAGCTGTACTTGCGTTACTATTATTTTTTTAAAGATGGCCGCCGAGTGAAATGTCAAACTGCTTAAACTGGCTATATTAATAGTTCATATAGTGTTTGAATTAGATCAGAATTGAAATTTTAATCATAACCTGCGTATCTCAATGTACAATTTTAAAGTATGGAGTGTAAAACCATAACCTTCTTATGTATGTACAATTTCAAAGATTTACTAAGGCTTATGATTCCTCTGTCAGTAAACTGACATATTCATATTCGTATGAAATACAAATTACACTTTTAATAAAAGTAATTAGCAAAATTTGCATTAAGGAATTCATTATCATGAACACAATATAGTTTAAAGCTCAAATTGTGTAAAGTGTAGTGGCATAACTGTTAATGTAATATTATTTATGATAAATACAATAACACCCATCGGTAAATTCAATATTCCATGATGATTCATGTTCTTACTGTCAAGTCAACAGTTGAACATTGCATTTCACAATAAAACAAGTCATGCATGAATATACATTCTGGATATGTATTTGAATTATATATGTATGCCGGAGGAAAGGTTTTCTTATTTTGTAGGCAATGGTCATAAATTATAAACAATGTACAAGTATTACTGTGCTTTTGTAAACAATATCAAAAACAATGGGAAGCAAAGGTACCAAACTGCCAAGATATTATCAACAATAAAAATTGAGAGAAAAAGTGAACTGAAATGTGTATTAAAAATATGAAATATGAATTTAATAATACAGTGTGTGTGTGTGTGTGTGTGTTTAAGCTTTGATGCAATACTATTGCAAGATGTTTTTTTTTTATCTTTTCAGGTCTTAAAATGAAATGGATACTCATCATAAGACTTTTCAGTGATAGTAAACATTTGATCAAATGCTTGTTATCAAGATACGCTCAAATGTTGTTTGACATTTTTGTACAAACTATAAATATTAGATATTTTACAAAAATGTAAATGTAAGTATTTATACAAAAACAAACAACAATGACCGCTTGGAAAACAAATATTTTTCGTACTTTGAAGTTTCACAAATAATAAAATTATTGAAAACATTAAATTCATGCAGTTCGTAAAATAATTTTACTATAGTAATAATAAATGAGGTTTAGACAATTAAATGCTGTACTATTGCATGTTTCAGTGTTTTACCTAACTTAAAAAAAAAAAAAAAACCATGTTATAATTCATGTTTGGTGGCATAACATTCTTGAGGACTTCTTCATTACCGTTTTTGCCACCAGTCTTGGTTTTCTAGTGATTAAAAGTAAGTATTTTGATAATTCTGATTTGAGTATATCAGCAAATTAAGTTAGATCACATATTTACCCGAAATAGTATTTTCTCACCAGCACGCAGACATCAAAGTTGCGGTTACACTTTGATCTAACAGTGCCCTGGTACAGGACTACAAAAGTTTCACTTCATTAGGTTCATTAATGAGAGATTTCCTTTCTTCTTGGAAGTTTCCTCTTTCAAAGGTCCAACACAAAGGCAGGTTTGGGATATGTGAGATATAAAGAATTCAGGAAGTTGGAGTCCCACGTAAGAAGCAGCAACAAAGGTTGCTTCAAAGAGAAATGTATACATCTGTCCACAGACGAAATCTGTTCGATATTGACAAAAAAACTGTCTGTAACGTCAGAAAAATGCTAATTCCCAATACAGAAAAAAAAAGGAAAAGTATTTAAAACATCTAGAACGTGCAAAGTTCTTTGAATTCATGTTGGTTTCAATAAACCAAGTTTAAACTTGAACCACATTTAAACGTATTATAGTTATCTCAAACTAAAATTAAAACCATTAAAAAAACATTTAGTTACTTGAAAAAAATAGATGTTTATTGAAATAAATTATATATATACACACACATTCCAAGGCACATTTTCTCACTTCAATTTAGTTTAATTTAAAAAAAATTAAATGTCTATGCAGTTTTTATGAATTATTACAGTTTTTGGTTTAAGTTATTTTAGGATGCTAATATTTTGAATTAGTTTTTAATTTGACATTTTACGTTCAATTTAATTTTAGTTAAAGTTTTTGTAATTTAGTTGCGTTTTGCCATTTTATTATTATATATATTTTTTAAATGTCTGTTAAAATGTATTGTTTTAAATATATATTTTTAAGCATCCTAAAATAACTTAAACCAAAAACTGTAATAATTCATAAAAACTGCATAGACATTTAAAAAAATATATAATAATAAAATGGCAAAACGCAACTAAATTACAAAAAACTTTAACTAAAATTAAATTGAACGTAAAATGTCAAATTAAAAACTAATTCAAAATATTAGCTTCCTAAAATAACTTAAACCAAAAACTGTAATAATTCATAAAAACTGCATAGACATTTAAAAAAATATATAATAATAAAATGGCAAAACGCAACTTAATTACAAAAACTTTAACTAAAATTAAATTGAACGTAAAATGTCAAATTAAAAACTAATTCAAAATATTCATAGAAACCATAGTAGTATCTCAATGATACTAAAATAACACAGATTAGAACTGATACATTTGAAATTATGTTGCGTAACCATAAAGTAAAAATGAAAAATTTAAAAACCAATGTTATGTTTTCCTTTATAGCCCCGAAAAACACCAAAATGTTTTTTTTATTCACAAATTAAAAACATGTTAAGAAGTATTAGAATTAAGTAGTATTTTTAAATGAATTAATGGTAACACTTTATTTTAACATGGCATGGTTACATAAAACATACTTACTATAGAAATAACAGTAAATTATCAATCATTACAAGAAACTAACCCTAAGCCAAACACTAAATTTAAGTATACGTAGTTAATTAATAACACTCAGTACGTATTTGTGTAATTACACAGTAACAATGTCACCCTAAAATAATGCACAATATATCGGCCACCATATCGGTATCTGCCGATATATGTAAAAAAATGTTAATGTTATTGTTATCGGTCCGATAAGAAGATTTAGCCGATATAATAAAGCCGATAAATAATGGATTACTTCCTTCAGCTGAGACACTTCAGATGTGCACTGTTCGCCATATTATTATTTTGTGTGTGTGTGTGTGTGTATATATAAAATTTTGGCCGATACCGATAATTCTTTATATTTGAAAGCTGATAACTGAAATATTATTAATATATATATATATATATATATATATCGGTTATCAGCTTTCAAATATAAAGAATTATCGGTTATCGGTATCGGCCAAAATTTTCAAATCGGTGCCTCACTACCTAAAATAATGTGCAACTGTTAGTAGATGTAGACAAAAATGTAATATGATGTGATAGACTCAGTATATTGTGAGGTTTGGTCAACTCACCATTGAAGCTGACCGACCGGATGTACTTCAGGAGCTTCTTGCCACCAGCGTGCTCCATCTCCTGACAAACACCCGACTGGTCGGGACAAAGGTCCTTCTGCATGTTGTGCAGGGCGTGGGCTATGGCGTACACCGCGTCGATCACAAACTGCACCTTCCCTTCCTGCTCGTATTTGGAGTCTAATCCTATTCGCTCTTGCCCTGGAAGGAAGAAAGAAAACAAAAAGTCAAAGTAGAGTGAAGACTTTCAAACATCTGCAGCGAGACGTGTGCCTAAATGCTCTCGCAGGAGCACATAAAAACAAAGGAATAGGAAAAACGGAGTCAACTCTGGAAGCTTTTGAAGAAAAATGTGAGGTAAAGTACAAAAGCAACAAAAGTTATCACACTTTAGGAACAATCTTTCATTTGACAAGCCTTGGCGGGTTTTGGCCGCTATCTTTAACACGGTGAAAAGCAATGCCTGAGATTGTAGGTGCTTATCTTACTTTGGTCTCTAATGGTATCACATTTTTGCTATCTTCATCTTAGGTGGTTTAGAGATTTATGTCCAGCGATTGCTCACAGGCAGTGTCGGGAGTAACTACCTAAACGTAGATTCAATAACATGACAAGTTGTCAATCGTGCAGCTTTTTTTAATAACCTCGTGAAAAAGAAGTGTGCTTAACTGTACTGAATGTGCACTTGTAGTGAACTTCAAATCTTAAGAATTGTACTTTCAGATAATATATGTATGAAATAAAAGGCCACTTAAGTGTACTTAAAGAGAGTACGCTTTCATGAGCGTTTCTTAATAGACTTTGTGTTTATGTAAAATTAAAGGTTACTTTAAAATACATTTCAAATCAATGTTTTATAATTTTTTGTTGTGCTTCAAATAAGTACTTATTTGAATGTGTTGACTAACATGCTAAAGCACATGTAAGGCATTTGATCATTATTTTAACCAGTGTTTTATTCAACATTATATTTAAAGTTAATATATTTAAAGTCCCACTAATAACTGTATCCCTTAAAACTCATCTTTGATCACCAAAATTACATAATTAAACGTTTTTTTTCCATGAAAATTCTTCATGCCTAAAAATAGCTTGAATGTGACTCTACACCCGCTCCTAATTTAGTATTCGCGGTCTATGAATATAAAATGAGCCCCGCCTCCACTCACTCACTCACTCAGAGATCCACTGGTTGACGATCACACGTTGATCTGATTGGTTACAAGGTAGTTTGTGACGTCAGAAACACCAGCGATTTCCACCCGTGTTTTTGAGACTGTCTTTGGTTCACTGCAGTTTTAAGGAGGAAATACTCAGCAATGCTGTCGACTTATGAATTTACACATGGTTTGTCTTAAAGCATATTAAAAACACCACATAGACATATAAACAACATTAAAACTTGATTTCACTACAGGGGGGGTTTAAATGCACTAAATTGCAACTTCATCATTAACAAATGTGCAATTATGACATTCAAGTTTCAATAGAAATGGTATTAAAGTATATTTTAGTTTACCATAAATGCTTGTCAGTGCATTCAGCATTACACTTTAACCAGAATAAATTATGGAATTGCATATACAGATGTAAGTGTATAAGAAAAGCACTATAAAGTGCCTTTAATAAAAAACTATAATACATTTTCACTCAATTCTAAATAACATGTAGTTAAGTGACCAAAACATTATTCTTAGTAGTTCCTTTTATAATGTCTTTTATATAATAGTCGTTTTAAAACTATGGTAAAGTGTACTTTTTTTCCACAAGAGAAAGTACCTTGTGGAAAAGGTACAACAAAAGTGACAGGCTGTTTTTTAGCATTAGCCACATTTAGCATTGTTTATACTGTAGAAACTGAGTTAAACAAATTATAAATGTAAAACATATATATATATTTAAAAAGGTAAAATACATCTGAATATTTCCTATATCTGGTATTTTCTCAACGTAGCTATTTAAGATACTTTTGAGAGTAGCTTGTAGTACAGCTTATTTAGCTATTTTTTGCAATTAGCTTTTAGCATGGAAGCTACAGTTTTACAATTTCTTTAAGTGTTGATACATTTTCTGCTGAAAAATGAAGTTGGGTGAGGCATTTCGAAGGATTTATTCTCTTTATTAAAATATCAAAAAGGCTTTAGCTACAGCATAGCCATGAATCACGGTTTGTTAACTGCTCATACGCATTTGTAGGGACACTCACATTCTAGACAGCACTTGATTGGACGAAAATTTGTCTAGTGCAGGATGAGTCATCAATAGTTTGTTTTGTTTTACCAGAAGAGACTGTAATTTATGAGAGACTGAATCTGCTAAAAGTACATTTGGTCAATTCTATGAACATAATAGCACATAGATTAGCCTCATGGCTAATAGACAGAGACGTTGCTCTGACAAATCGGTTGGAACTTTTTACTAAATTACTTTTCTCTTCAGAAAAAGGTCACTGTGAGTCAAGATAATTTGTTATGCATTAATGGGAAATTCATTCCACACACATAAAAAAAATGTTTCACAACCTTATCAGGATCTGACCTAGCAAGTATACCTTTACCTTAAAATGTCTTAATAACAACAGTGGCCAGACTTTAGCCTCACCCTTAACTGCAAGGAAAACCGTGACAGTTCTATTAGGAGCTGCTATTCCTGATCTACTGGTGCAAGTTCTCACGAGACATCAATGCAGTTCAGGTACCGATTTCTCTCCAATTAACTCTGCCGTCGTCCAGATCCGACACCCACCCTTATATGCCAGTCTGTGTTCCCCAGGGACGCTCTTATAGTCTGTCTTTCCACAATAACGCCTTTCATTAAACATACTACAGCTGGCTTAGTCGGCTCTTCTGTCCCGCCAAGCGTGGCTAACTCAAATATGTGTATTTTCGAGACAGCTTCATCATAAATGGCCCTAGTCTGATGGGCAAGGGATGGGTGACTCTAACAGTGCCTGACAGAACAGGAAAACTAGCTTGGGGAAATATCAGCTCATCCAAAAGTGCCATTAGATATTTTCAGGGAGCTTGAAACATCCCCATCTGGGATTGGACTTCATCCACAACGATTGGATCTCATCATTTAGATGCTATTCACTTGCAAGATGAATGGCTGACGTCTTGAAGACATCCTTAGAAAAAAATCACCAACTTGTAGGACGCTACTTTTCCATTTCTTTCTGTCATTAGTGAAGGGCTATTGAGATGCCAACGGAAGCTTTCTCCAGGTAATATACCTCCTTGTTATAAAAAGAAAAGGTTGCATTTCACCTAGATCTGGGGTTTAAATAAAAACGAGATTGAATGCATGTATCCTTAACCATTTGTCAAGATAGATTCGCTAGTTAAAGAGGTTTTACAATTTCTCAACATCTCGATGGCATCAAATTAAAGGTTATGACAAAGTCATCTCATCATGGTCAGGCAAAAGCCTTGAGGGATTCAGATCAATAGACATCAATGACCCCAGGCAGTGACAAAAACCCCATCCTGGCAGAGGTTCGTTCATGCTGAAGGTCACAACAACCATTAGAAAATAATAAGCTGCTCTCATGGTGACACATATCTTGTTCAACAATACTTCACAATTACACCTAGTAGCCGTTGACAGAAAAGAGTACTGAGCTCAGAAGCTTTTTAGAAAATTGCCTCAGTCTCTAATTTATCTTTTCTTTTTGTCACAAAACTCTACTTCTGAAGGTATCGACCAGAAATTAATTGCGATACATTTGCGTCATCAACGCGAGTACCACATTGAGCACTAGCAGCAGCTGTTTAGCACTTTTAGCTAGGTAAACATTCAGTAGGAAAATATGGCAAATAAAAAAAAAATACTACCAAGTTTTAAGCCAAATTGCATTTAAACATACGTGACTCCACAAAAACTGTACTTGAGGCTATACCGCTTTGGCATTGTTCACTCATGGGTACACTGTAAACAAAAATGAGCAAATTTTACGGTTAAAAAAAAGGCAGCTGTGGTTGCCAGTAAAAAAAAAAACATTTTAGGTTAGAAACATAACTGATTAAATGAAAATAAAAGATAAAATTTGAAGCGTCACACGGTTCTTCAATTAAAAATGATTAGATGACTTGTTTTTTTTTTCACTTCCAAAAAAACTGTTAAATTATCAAACTGTAAAATTACATGAAATGTCCCATTAGATTTATTACAGTTTTTCACTGTATACAGTAAGGCAACTTACTGCTAACCAATCAAATGGTTTTACTGTAGCCTTTTTACAGTCTTTTACCGTTAAAATTACACACTTTTTTATTTTTTATTTTTTTACACAGTATCCCAGTTCGGAAAACAACTTTCACTTCAAACAAACATGAACTTGGATCTTCAACAAAAGCTCTATTGAATGTCCTGAACTCTTTTTGACTGCAGTGGTGAATCGCAAAAAAAAAAAAAAGAGAGAGCCTCATTTGATTCTCATCTAAGTGATAAGAACAGACTCCATTTTGGAAAATAAATCTCGACAGATGTTTAAGCTAATTGGAGAGCCGGTTTCCAACTTGCATGAGATTTTCCTAATCTGTATCAGCCATATGCTATTTGAACTGCAAATTCATTATGTTTTTTTTTATTTTTTTTTTACTGAAAACAGGCCAGGTGTTAATGCAGAATAAAACAGACTTGATGTACACAAGAACTTAAAAGATTTAAGCAAATGTCATGTTTAATGTCAGGTAATTTCATAATTTCATCCATTGCGTTTAATATTAGTAATTGGCTTTTATTCAAATTCTAAATCTAAAGCCCATAACATACTTCAGTTTTGAAGCGAACACATATCCTTATACAGCCGAACTCATAGCCATTCAAACTATACTCCATTTCATAACACAGGTGGTGGACATGTGCACTAGAAAGTTACATCCTTGTTTAATATCTGCGATTTTCTCACCAGAATTATGATTGATTTAAAATCTTTGTACTCTTTTAAATTAGTCACGTGATTTTTATTAACCCTTTAACGCATACCTCGGGTCTTTAGTGAACCGGGACGTCATTCACTACCCTCCTCCTCATTCATATTTTAAAGTTAGACGTCAATCTTCTATTTCTCCATCAATTCATTATAAACAATATAACAAGAACACTTTATAAAATTATAAAAGAAAGCCTGTTTTCCCATTCATTTCTTGTAAAAATTGTACAGGGTCACTGACGACCTAAGGTATGTAACAGTATGTATA